GATCTGTCGAACTATACTGAGCGAACGACAGATGGAGCAGCTGGAGGATGCAGTAAGTCGACGTGTCAAGAATGTTAAAACAAAAAGGAAAGTAGCACTCTGAAGAAAGCTCCACAAGTTTGATGATCATGAGCTAATCGACGAAAATGAAAACTGTGTCCGAAATCTCTCCAATCGTGTAATGACACGGGATGAAAAACGAATCCTCATTAAAGGAATTAACTTCAACGTTAGAAATGCAACGAAAAAGGAATGCTTGGCGGAACTGGAACGAACTCTCAAATCGTCCACGATACCTGAAGATGCGAAACATACCATCCGACAAACAATCGTCTCAGCTCTGATGCGAAAAGGAAAACCAAACATGCTATCAAACCGCGAGGACAAAGCACTCAACACTGAAGATGGACAAAAGTATCATCATGCTCCCAGCAGATGAAGGACGAATTACTGTGGTCATGGACAATACTGACTACATTCAAAAGGCCAAAGAACTACTCTGAGACACAAACACCTAACGCAGGATCGACATAGACCCCACCGCAAAACTGGAAAACAAAATTAACACCACATTAAAACCACTGGACGAACTACATCAAATAACCAAAGAGGAGCACTGGAGAATGAGAGCAAAAAACTCGGTTATCTCACAGTTCTACGAACTGCCGAAGGTACACAAGAAAGGGATTCCCTTGAGAACGATCGTCTCTCTTCCAGGAACAGTTACATACAAATTAGCAAAGGAGTTATGGAAACGACTGAAGCCGCTCATCGCTGAACACGAGTATTGCGTCATGAACTTAAGGCAATTCCTGGACAAGCTCAAAACTGTCAACATCCAAGAAGAAAAAATAGTGGTCTCGTCCGACGTCATCGCCGTGTTCACTTCCATCAACTTGGACCTGACAAGATCCACGTCGTGGGAACTGATGACTGAGCACCTACCATACCAACCAATGGAACCAGCTGCAATTTACGAACTTGTGGAACTATGCATGCGAATATACT